CTGTCTTCATTAACCCCTTGGCTTACGATTCAGCTGTTTTTGCATATTTGTCCCACTTAATTGTTTCTGATCTTGAAACAAAACATAATACACAAATATATTTTTTAATTTATTAAAGGAAAAAAAAACATCACCAAGTGGCCCCTGCGCGAAAAAGTAATAGCTCCCTTAGTTACCCAATTAACCAATTAGCCAAATTTAGTTTATAATTGGGATTGATTTAATTAGACTTAATTACTAAATCTAAATATCACTTTAATAGACCTTTTCCAGCAATGTGAAGTAGGTTAAAAGGTCTCTACAAGCAGGACACTACACTATAACTGAACAAAATTCCAACAGAGATGAGAACTAACAAGTTATTAAAATAAATCAGCCTGGAAAGGGTTGTTAAGCCTTTTCTAAGGCTCTGGGGCTCACAACCAAATGGAGAAAACAGTAGAGAATCTTTCCAGAAGAGGCTGGCCTACCAAAATTCCTTCAAGAGCACAGCGACGGCACATCCAGGAAGTCATAAAAGATCCCAGTTGAACATCTAAGGAACTGGAGGTCACGCTCACCTCAGATAAAAGTCAGCGTTCAAGATTCCACCAGCAGAAAGACACCAAAAACATAATGGCTTGTCTCACATGTGTCAAAAAATGCTTTGATGACTTTCTAGCCTTTTGTAATAATGTTCTGTGGACTGATGCATTAAAAGTAGAACTTTTTAGAAGACAAGGGTCCTGTTATATCTTATAAGAACACCATAACAACAGTGGACAGACATGGTGGTGGTAGTGCGATGGTGCACAGATGCTTTGCTGCTTCAGAGCCTGGATGGCTTGCCATAATAGACGGAACCATGAATTCTGCTCTCTACCAGAAAATCCTGCAGTAGAACATTCAGTCATCAGTCTGTGTTCTGAAGCTCAAGTTCAACTGAGTTATACAGCAAGACAACAACCCAAAAGCTAAAACCAGAAGTCCACCTCTGAATGGTAAAAAAAAACAAGGTTTTTCTGTGGCCTAGTCCTGAGTTGAACCCCATTGAGATGCTATGGCAGGACCTCAATTGGGTCCTTAAAGCCCTTCAATGTGGCTGAATTAATTCGGCAAAGAAGAGTGGGCCAAAATTCCTCCACAGTGATGTGAAAGACAGCTGTGCTAAAGGTGGCAACACCAGTTATGTTTAGGGCTGGCAGTTACTATTTAATGTGGGTGTTATGGGTGTTGCAAAGCTTTTTTCCTTAAATATATGAAATAATTATTCAAAACTGTGTTATGTGCTTCCTCATGTTCAATTTCATCTTATTTTACATTTTGTATGAGGATCTGAAACCATTTACTGTGACAAATATACAAAAATAGGAAATCAGAAAAAGGCAAATACCTTTTCATGACACTGTATGACTCATTAGGAAATTGCTGTGAATCTGGTGTGCAAGTTATGTAGTTATACATGTGGGGAAATCAGGAGTGAGCCCATATACATGCCTTTAAAGTCTAATGGTTTAGAAATAGAAGGAAATTAGCAATATGCTAATTAAAGTAGTCTATGAAATGGAAAAGCAAGAATCGTCAGCTAGCAGCAATCATCATCTAACAAGAAGCCAGCAACAGAATATATACAACGTAATCAAGGGTACATGCTTATCAGTGTAGTTACCATAAACCCCCTACAGGTAAAAGAAACCTTCAGGGTTCTACATTTTTTATGAGGCCTGTTTCCATCTTCAGTGGACAGTCCATTCCAGCTCAGGTGGCTCAGAAACAAGACGCAGGAAGCCAATGTCCTGGCTAATATTTCATCACAAACATTCGTAGCTAACTGGCCATGGTTTTTGATTGATGGCATGTAGCACCTATGAAGATGAATGGAAGTGTTCCAGTTTAAAGATCGACTTCAATTACCCTAGATGGTGTTTAATTCAGGCAATTATCATCATTACAGCATTATAAGACTTATAGAACACCACTGTACCCTCTTAGTACATACGGCATCTATCAGCATAGGAGCTCCAAAGTTCCAAATTGAGAATGAACAACAGTAAAGCAGCCATACCAACTCAACAAAATTAACTTAAACCCAGAAAAGGAGCCAGGAACTAAATGTGAATGGCTGAAGTGCAACAGAGGAAAAGTTGGTAACTTTAATGACAAATATGAATTGAGGTAGAAATAAAAGTTGTCATTCATAAATGTTGCTTTTGTCAGTTTAGATGTTGACATAACACCTGTGTCAGATGACCAGTGGCAACAGATGAGTATTGGAGCTAGGCCATAAATGTAAAACTCTGTGACAAAGCTGGCTTCTGCTAGTGTTACTCTGGCATTATTATAGTTTGTTAGTGTTAAGCTAATTGAGGTTCACATTTTTTTGGCTGTTCTACAACCCCATTTCCAAAAAAGTTGGGACGCTGTGCAAAATGTAAAATTCAATGATGGGCAAATCATTTAAACCCTATATTTCATTGAAAATACTACAAAGACAACAAACCAAATGTTGAAACTGAGAAATTTCATTGTTTTTTGAAAAATATATGCCTATCTTGAATTTAATGTCAACAACACATTCCAAATAAGTTAAGACGGGGGCATGTTTACCACTGTGTTTCATCACCTCTTCTTTTAACAACACCCTGTAAGCGTTTGGGAACTGAGTAGGCTGACTGCTGTAGTTTTTAAAGTGTTCAGTTCAGGGTCTCCTTTGTTGTATTTTTCATTTAATGATGTGCCAAATGTTTTCAGTGGTGACAGGTCTGGACTGCAGGCAGGCCAGCTCTTTTAAAATGGAGCCATGCTGAAGTAATACATGCAGAATGTGGTTTGGCATTGTCTTGCTGGAATAAGCAAGGCATTCCCTGAAAAAGACATCATCTGGATGGCAGCATATGTTGCCAAAACATGTATATATCGTTCAGCATTAATGGTGCCTTCACAGATGTTCACATCACCCATGCCATGTGCACTAATGCACCCCTATACCATCATGAATACTGGCTTTTGAACTGTACACTGATAACAAGCTGAGTGGTCTTTAGCCCGGAGGACACAGTGTAGATGATTTCCAAAAAGAATTTCAAGTGTTGATTTATTGGACCACAGAGCACTTTTCCACTTCCCCTCAGTCCATTTTAAATGAGCTCGGGCCCAGAGAAGGTGGCAGCATTCTTGGATCCTGTTTATATATGGTTTCTTCTTTGCTTTTAAGAGTTTTAACTTGCATTTGTGGATGCTGCGACAAACTGTTTTCAAAGACAGGTTTTCAGAAGTGTTTCTGAGCCCATGCAGTGATTTTCACTACAGAATCATGTCTGTTTTAATGCAGTGCCGTCTCAGAGCCCACAGATCACAGCCAACAAATACTGTTTTTTAGCCTTGTCCCTTGGGTACAGAGATTTCTTCAGATTCACAGAATCTTTTAATGATATTATATACCGTAAATTATGAAAAGCAAAAGTTCTTTGCTATTTTATGTTAAGAAATGTTATTTTTGAACTGTTGCACTATTTGATCATGTGGTCTTTCACAGAGTGATGAACCCCTCCCCATCTTTACTTCTGAAAACTCTTTTATAGCTAATCATGTTACTGACCTGTTGCCAATCAACCACCAGGTGTTTTTGTTAGCATTACACAACTTTACCAGCCTTTTGTTGCCCCCGTCCCAACTTTTTTGGAACATATTGCTGGCATCAAATTTAAAATGGGCATATATTTTTCAAAAACAATATAATTTCTCAGTTTCAACATTTGATATGTTGCCTTTGAAGCATTTTCAATGAAATATAGGGTTAAATGATTTGCACATTGTTGTATTTTGTTTTTATTTACATTTTTCACAGCATCCCAACTTTTTTGGAAATGGGGTTGTAGATTAAACAGACATTTAAAGCTTCTAAAACACATTCCATGTTTTACTTGAAGATTGTTACAGACATATTAACATATTTTACCTTGTAGCAGTTTCATAGTGACTCTTTCAGTGGTTTTGAGCTGCCACCACTGTTTTCCATTTCTAACAACCACTGATTAGTCTGCTGCTCATATTCACAGTTAATTACATTTCGAGAACTTTCAGAAACCCAAGCGTCATTTATTTTCTAACAAAATTTGTCTTGCCTATTGGTAATCAAAGAATGATTAGTTAATACCCCGGTCACCTTGATTAGTTGATACCTCAGTCACCTTGTAACCTTAGTCAATCTATGTTCACATGAATCATGTTAGGTCTTCTCTTTACCTCCTGAAATCCTAACAGAATAGGAAAGCTTGCTTAGCTAGATCTACCTAGATACTATGGAGAAAAACAAGTTCCTCACTGGCTTGTTTTCCACTGGATATTTTAAGAATTTAACCCTTTCTATCTAAGACGTAACACTGAAGCAACAGTAGTGCTGTAATACCTGCAGACTTAAATATAAGAATGATTCTACTGAATAAAATGAACTAAAAATGACAGTGTATTTTTTTAATTCCCAGAAAGCATTATGTCACTTAGATATTCACTGAGATATGAGTCTATGTCATTTTACCAAATAAAACAGCATGATACAATCTAACATCAGAAAAAAAGATTCACCTGATATAGATATTATGACATCAAAGCTGGCAAAAACCCTTTATGACCAGTGACACCTATTGAAGTAAGTGTTTATACATATTTATGTAGATCTATCAATGGCTTACAAAGACCTTTGCCCTACAGTAAAGTGTTACTAACTGATTTAAATAGTGGACACCCCAAAAATCCAGACAATAATGTGGCCAGCCTGACCTAAAAGGTCATATGCGAGTGTCCACAGTGATCCTACTGAAATGCAGCCTGGGTTTGAGTTGCATGAGTTGCTCTTCTGCATCCGACCAACAATGGCAGCTCCGCTCTCAAAAGCAGCCGCTTAAATATTCATGAAGTAACCCACACCTGTTTCCAGGTAACCGATGCTGAGGTCCTGAACCATGACAGAGCGAATGTGTGTATTGTGTGTGTGTGTGTGTGTGTGTGTGTGTGTGTGTGTGATCAGCACTGTAACTGTTTCTTTCTGCTGTTCACACAGACACCAGAGCTTCTGCAAGCAAGCTGGTATTTTCTTAACATATAAGAGACCATGAAGGAGCTCTAAGGAGCTGCAATCAGACCATCAGCACTGTTTTCCTTCCGTTGTTTGGCCAGATTCATCATTTTGTGATGTTTGGGCGTTTTTGCTGATGGACCAGAGACGCTTCTGAGGACCTCTAAAGTGGGATCCCGTTGATGGTGGCTTGACGGGACTCTGTTTGCAGGGCTTTCTCTCTTTCTCTGTTTTCACTTGTCCAGGCTTTGAGAAGGAGCCATCATGAATCCGCTGTTTAAAGCATACAAGAGCAAGGTCATGAAAACCTTCAACCCTGATGCTGAGGAAGACCCTGCTGAAGAGGTAAGGTGGCCTACTAAGCCATTAAACTGCAAGCTTATTATTCAGTTAATAATCTTAAAAGGTATTCCAGCATTTTCAACCTAATCTTTGCATCTGTAGCATGTGATTGACTCCCATAGACAATCATTTCAACATGTTTTCCTGTAGTTAACTCATGACAGAGCCTAATAGACCCAATAATAGAACTCATAATAGAACCAAATGGGGCAGATGCTGAAGCTAAAATGATTGTACATTGGTTGTGTTTTTTTGTGGTCCATTTTTAATATTGTTGATATGTTTTACAATGTGTGTACTCATCTATTTTCTTGATATATTTGTTTTTTTATTTATTTACTTATTTAACATCATTTGAAAATGCTAAGTACCATTTACCCGGTTATCAAAATTTCATGACAAACGGACCAGCAGAAATTATGTAGAAAATGACCTAGAATTAAATCTTTTTATATTAATGTACAGTCGTATGCAAAAGTTTGGGCACCCCTAGTCAAATGAAGTTTTTTGGATTTTCTAAGTGAAAATAAGTTAACACATCCTCTACAGAAAACACACTTTTGCACATTTTATTACACAATTACTGTTTATTTACTGAATTTGACATATTGGGGAAAACACTTAAACATAATTTTCAGTGTGTTACAGCATGTCAAAAACATAAGGCTGACTAAGGGTGTTAAAATTTTTGAAAGATAATAATCGGTAAAGTTACTTTTTTGGAGATTCAACGCAACAGTATGCTGCTTTTATGTCAGACGTCAGGTAACCTTTAAAAGACTTAGCGTATTGGATTCCTGTAAATACTGAAGAAGTCTAAGTCAAAACGCTGCAACACTTTTCTTTATTTTACATTAGAAAATGCAGGTTTCACATTTATGTGTATTTCCAAGCAACATTATAACAGAACATTCAACATACTGTGCTACATAAACTATAATGCTAGGCCATCACTAAGGTGATCCAGCAACCATATATCAATGTCCCAGGCAAAGGATGATGCATATTTATTATGCACAGTCATGCACAGACTGACAGTGGGGCACATTTACATATGACTATAGTATTGTGAGAAAGACAGAGACCACTTCATTTCCATCAAAACGGACACAGGTTATTAATTTTTAAGTGTCAGAAAAAGCAGAAAATTACACAGAAGCCTCAACAAACAAACACTATTGATTTCAATATTTAGTGTGTCCACACTTTACCTTTATTACAGCTTCCATTCTTTTCAGGATACTTATAATTTTCCACACCTCCAATGTTCAGTCTTAAAAGTTAGTTAAAGTTTCTGCTTCTCACAATTCAATCCCAAACACATTTAGTGGTGTTGAAGTCTGGACTCTGGGGTGGTCAGTCCATTGTTCAGCTTTGTCTGTCTCCTTTTCTCAGTGAGGCTTCTTGACAGCTACACATCCTTTTAGACCCATAGCGCTGAGTTGTCTTCTCACAGTGGAAGGATGGATAGAAACACCTGTGGATTTTTTTCAGAACTTCAGAACTCTCTCTCAAAGATGAAAGCTTTAAGTGCTGTTTATCTGATGGGGGGCAGTTTTGGAGTCTTCTAGGTCTTGTAGGTAGTTGTTCACAGTTTCTCTGTAGCTTTTAATCATTTTTTGATGTTCAGTTTTGGAAACTCCAGTTTTTTCATTTATAGGCTGTTGAAAATGTTGAAATGCCTTACTAGATAATGATGTATTGGAGCGGGATCAAGAGAATGAATGCAGAAGGTTCTAAACTGTCCAGGTTATGGTAGGTTAGTATGCTGCAGGTGTTTGCTGTCGTAGACGAAGGACAGTGACCTAGTTCTTCAAGGCCGATGGGAACTTGATCCTGAACAGGATCCTGGATGCCATTCTAGAGATTTAGCAGGGATGATTAGCAGGGATGATTCGGGCAGTAAATCTTGGGGTGTGTGTTAATAACACACAGACACGGGAGCCATCCTGCTTTGTCCATTTAAGTGGCTCTCTGAAATTGAGACAGCTGCAGTATAGCAACCATCACAGTTTCCATAACCTGTCCAAATATCTGTGGGTGTCAACACATAGTGGATAAGAAAAAGGTCAATGACTACTTCATATGTTTTTATTTACAATGAGTTATTATTCTCTCATTATAATAGATAATCCTTTAAACTACAGCATATTATTCACTTATTAATCTTGAATTATTCAGTATCTATATGAATTACCCAGTGAAATGGGTTAACCCCTTAACAGGGGCTTCAATGCAAACTTCTAAAGGTTTCTGCAGAATTAAAGCATTAGCTTTTTGCTCTGAAACAGTTCTTGGACTCTTTTCTGAACATTACTGAAAATCTTTTTGGCTGTTTTGTCTGGTTGGGTTTATTGTTTTGGCTACAGGTTTCAGTTTGAATTAAGTGTATGCGTAGTTGCGTTAAATAGCCACTAGATGGAGACATTTACAGACTGGAGTGCAGTGGCACAAACCCTCCTCTTCTAGCTTCTATAGTTTGTAGTTCACTTGTACTTACAGTCCACCATAAATCCACATAATCAGTGCTTTAAAATGCATACCTGATGTTTGTCCTTAAATTGCAAGAGTTAGAGTTGAGTTGAAACTGAGCTCGACAGAAAGGTAAATCTCGTATGGAGACATATTAAGTCAATCAGTGCAGTTTCACACTTGATTTGATAAAAGACTTCACAATCTGAGGTACTTGAACATACTGCTCCATCTTACTTTAGCCATGAATCTCTGTATTAACTCTATGTTTGAATGTTGTTTTAGGTGATTGAGGCAGCCGAAGAAATGACACCAGTCCAGCAAGATGAAGGGCCGAGTACTGTCACTCAGCTCGCTAAAAGAGTAAGACTGGACACAGTCCACCCAACCCAGCTCATGCCACTCATAGGATTTCTTAGCATTGAAAAAATATTTAATTTTTAAGTTTTTCAAGTTTAGTTCAGCCAAAAACGAAATTTACACATTTTTTGCCCTTACCCCCAAATATAGTTACATTACAGAAGTTACATTGCGTAATTCCTGCAACCCCTGGTTCCCTTTGCTACCACTATAAAGAAATCTGAATCTGTAAGCTTCTCTACAATGAGCCATTTCACATCAAACTCTGAATGGCTCTGTTTACATTTCACTGAATAAAACAGAAATTTTGAAAAATGTATAAAATTCCTCTTTAACTGCGGGTTTGTGGTGTGGTCGCTCTTTCAGATGCAGGGAGTTGGGGCGAAAGGGTGGAAAAGTGTGACTGCTCTCTTTAACAAAGATGATGAGCACCAGCTTCTGGAAGCAGAACCAGACAGCCAGCCTGCTGCAGACCAGTGAGTGACCAAAAAGGACTCAGCATTCATATCCATTCATTCTGCTCCCAGAGCTCTGACTCTACTATAATGTTCTGCACTGCATGACCAGTGCAGTTGATTTGACTTAATATTGCACACTTACTGGCCATTCTCTTGTAGCTCCACCCTGCTCATGTACAGTTGGAGATTGCAGCCCATGTGTTGAACAACAGCAGTCCTGTGGCAAGAAACTGACCAATAATGAATGAGGTGGGGTGGGAGGGCTGATAAATTGCATAGCAACGGATGAACTACAGTCTGTCATTGTACACCAACATAGTGGAGCTATAAGGCAGATGTAGCTCATAAAATGGCCAGTTGGCAAATGGATGTACAAAGTAGGTGTTTCTAATAATGTGGTCAGTGAGTGGAATCACAAGGTAGGTGTTTTTTAATAAAGTGGGCAATCTGTATGCAGTCAGTTTGTCTGACTTGTTTTTGGTGACTCACCTTCGTTATCTCTGCAGCCCACTGGCAGTGAAGCCAGAGGAGCCCCCACGGCCCAACAAGCGCGGCACAGGATTCTGGGATAGCTTTGCCACAAAGTGGCACCAGGCAGCTGCCATGAAACAGGCCGAGGCAGCATCTGCCGCAGCAATGGAGGCAGGCGGTGAGGGAGGGGTGGAGCCAGGCCTGAGCCAAGAGGAAGGAATGAATCAGGGAGGGATGGAGAACGAGGCAGGAGGAGAAGGAGGGGGGCATGGCAACAGCTTTTCAAAGTACGCCTCTCTGGGCGGGGCTAATGACAACACACCCTCCTTCAAATGGAACTTTGTGACAGGCAAACTGGCTGAGTTAAAAAGCAAAAGCATGACCAAAAGCAACTAGACCTACAACGGTGGAGGAGAGACGCCAGAGATGGAAACAGCAAAGCAGAAGCACTATACCTAGTCAACACCAGCCACAGCGTTACACCATAAACCTTCACTGTGCACTGGGATCTGATGCACACCTAGATCTCTCCTGGCCACCTAGTTGTGGACAAATCTCAGCCATCTGGCATTTATTTCTATAAAGGGTTAAAGATGTTTCTATAGGCAGCTCCTCCAGTCTTTGATTTGACTGGAAGGGCATCTACACTTCAGACAGTTTAGACTGATCAGAGTGCTGAAGCAGCCACTTCCTATTCCTTTCCATTACACCAAAAATATGAAAGCAAACCATTAGAGGGCACCTGCGAGTAAGTCCTCACTGGTAGTGAACGGAGCAAAACAGCTATAAAAATTTAATAAATATTTTTCTAGTTTCATGACAAAATTTCCTTTAATTTTGGAAAGTAGAAAAATGCATTTTATATTAAAAAAAGAAAAAAAAATTGTATCTTTATTTTTCTACAGGCATCATGAATGCACATATGACACTGTTACAAAGTCTTATACTTGGAGTTGACATTCACAAAAATGGCAGCCGGGTTGAAATATTTTATAGTATTCTGTGCTGAGAAAACAAGTGCATTTGTCTGTATGAAAACAACATTTCATAAATTACAATATTGTGCAAAAGCTCCATAAGAACCAATTCATTTAGTATTCTCTTTGGAGCGACCTCTAGTGTCTGACCAAGCTTGAAGACTTTATTGAGTGGCAGTTCTTCTCACCAGAACTTGTCTGAAGTAGTGTTGATGTTCAGCTGAACAAATTAAGCACTTTTCAAACACCTTTCATTTGGCCTGCTACCAAACTACATATACCTTTAGCTAATGTTAGCTAGCAGGGTGTGATCATTTTATTATCTGTAATTGCTAACTGCATATGATTTCATGATTTTCAAGCTGCAATCTCTTAAAACTAAAGTTTTAACCTTACCCTGATAACAAAGTGGTCTGCTAGTTAGCAGGTTGTAGCTTGGCTGTTATGAAGGTTAGCTAGCTCAGAAGCAGCTATGGTAAAAATCCAATCCATCTCGAATCCATGTTTGCAAGTGTTAGTCCACTTCATTTTTAATCCCTTAAATGGTCAGAAGCAGGTCCAAGCTATATTTCTTAGGTAGTTAGCATTGATTTTCATGTAGCTACTGAATAATAGGCCTTGCAATTTAGTCTCTGAAGTTTATCAGGAAAGTAGGGAAGTAGAAAAGGGGCTAGTTTAGATGAGTGTAGGCTAATAATCAGAAATGAACAGATTCTGTGGATCTAGATTGGTCATTTTTTTCTGCATCTATCCCATAATCTCCTCACTGGCGTCCTCCTTTAGTCAATGTACTGCTGCAAAGCACACTTTTCAGGGAATTATGTACTGCAGGCTTTATTTACAACAGAGATCACCATACACGACTCAGATATTAGCGCACATAGCTAATGAAAAGTCTTAATAAACCAATTTGCGCCAAAGTTTGCGTAATTTTAAACTGTACTGTATTATGAATTATCTTGTACAGATGAATTAATTCATTACATAATTGGTCCTACAGACTTATTTTTTATTCCAGAAAAATTGTGCCCTAATTATCAGCCCTGGTAAATAACACAGCACAGGCCAACATGCCTGGTCACAAGCAAATCCTGCATATGTTTTGTTTTGGATGCTGGTATGCTGGTAAACCAGCATGACTGTGCTGGGTGACCAGCACAGACCAGCTTTTTTTTCAGCAGGGAAATAATTACTGATCAAATATCCAAAATCTACTTTATAATATTATGTTGATATCAATTATCACGTATTTATTTGTATGTAAAGTAAAAAATATGAATGATGTTGCTACTGTTAGAGCTGGGACAGAACATTTTTCTTCAGGGGGAATGAATCTCTGCCCCAGTTACTTCATGCAGTGTGATTTTACATTACACAATGGTTCTGATGATCCTGTTCCCTCTCTGGCTTCTTCTTCTAATTTTATTCCAGGTTTTGTATGTGTTAAAGTGAGACAATCAGTAAAAATCAAACATAAACCATTGACAAGGCCATGATTAATCTGAGTTCAGACTGATCAACGAATTCAATATCCAACCAACTAACCGAAATCAGCCGCCAAGTGAACACAACAAAACCATAAAGTGCAGTGCTGATGGATACAGGAATTCTCTTAATGCTGCCTGGTGTCAGATATTTGCTATCTCTACCTATTTTTCTCTGTTTTGAATGTCATGCTGAATGGGTTGTTCTGTTTGTTCTTTTATTTTGTGACCAAATAAAATCCTAATTTCAAGTAAGAAAAGCCTGAGGAAAAGCCTGAAGTCTTTTAGTCAAAGACAGCACCAGTTCCACCTCAGACGCACTTCAGATAGCATACGCAGTGATTAGCAAGTACAAATTAACAACCAAGCTAGCTGTTAAGTCCTAGAAGAAGATAAAGTTAGTCATAAAGTTGTGGACATGTGCCAGCTGCGCATGTCATTGAATGGCAGAAAATTTGTAATTTACCAGCCTTTTTTATCCCATCATAACCATAATGCTAATTTCAGCTAGCACCTTGTGTTTATGTTAGCATCAAGCTAGCATGGTTTATTTTCACATGATATAGCTTTTATTCCAAGCTCTAGCTTAAACAGAGACATTTGAAACTCCTAACTAGCATCCAGGAAACAAATTCTTAAATTTGCATGTTGTAGTTTATTATAATCAAAGGATTTACACAGAATACATATTCAGATTATGTACCTGCATTTAACGTAATTTGTCACTAAAGTACAGAAGTGGAAAGACTACTGAAAATCCCTTCTTAAGTAGAAGTTACTGTTACTGTGGTGATAATTCACTTGAGGAAAAGTATTAATATAAGAAAATACTAAGTAAGAGTAAATAATTTTACTGGAAAATTACTTGAGTAGTCAGGTTTATTTGTTGAGCATTATTTAAATATGAACAGCTGTAACAGTCGCGTTTGTCTTAACCGTCACATCGAACTCTGGGAGAATCGCGCGACAGAACCGAAAGCCAAGGGGGCGGGGTCATGCAGGATAGCTCCGCCTATGCCGTGTTTTGGTTGGTCTGAAAAAACTTTTTTTCCCTGAAACTCTCACTAAAGATTTTTACCTTTTTAAAGTAATTTATGGCACAAAATAAATACAAAAGGTCACTGATTAGATTATTAATAAAGGCTTATGTTATATTGTTTTATTTTTCTTAGGATTCTCAAAAGCTGCCTTTTTAACACACAAGTAGTGTATTCAAGGCAGGTGTTTCCAATAAAGCGGCCAAATGAATGGAAGCACAAGGTAGATGTTTCCTGTAAAGTGGCCGAATGAGTGGAAGTTCAAGGTAGGTGTTTCTAATAAAGTGGCCAAATGAATGGAAACACAAGGTAGGTGTTTCTAATAAAGTGGCCAAATGAGTGGGCGTAGTGGAAGAAAAGACAAGGTAGGTGTTTCTAATAAAGCGGCCAGTGGAAGAAAGGACAAGGTAGGTGTTTCTAATAAAGTGGCCAGTGAGTAGAAGTACAAGGTAGGTGTGTCTAATAAAGTGGTCAGTGTGTGGAAGCATAAGAGGGGTGTTTCTAATAAAGTGGCCAGATAGTGGAGTACAAGGTAGGTGTTTCTGATAAAACTGATGGTAAGATATTTTGGCAAGTCAAAGCATCTTAAATTTGAGTAATATATCTAGCTCGAACGCACTTCTTATTCTCACTTACATTATGCAATTTGATTGCACTTTTGTTTCATGTACATTTTAAACAACTGCAGTGAAATGGTAAAAGAGTCCTCTTATTCAGGTAACCATGTGGAAAATAACCAGTACATGGTTAAACCAGGTTAAAATTTCCTAATTTTGAATCCATAATATTTTTGTTTAAATGTAAAGGTTGGGTTTAAAACCTGATTGCAACGTCTAATGTCAGTTAGTTTTTTTTAATACAAGATATGAGACTAGACGAAGGTTTTTATAGGTTTGTATACAGTGGCTGATGCTCGTAGCCAAAACACAAATTCTAAAGTAATTCAGTAGAATATATATTCAAACAGAATTCCTATTTGTTGTCTTAAGCCTTCTGCTTAGTCCAACATTATACAACAGTTAGTTCCGGTCACGCAAGCTGATTGGTTGAGAAGCATAACCGTGCTGTTATTTCGCCATAGCATCACATGTTTTTTACAAACACTGTATCACTCTGCGGAGACGCCGTTGCTAAGCAACAAGTTTGACAGCTGTAGGAGACGCTCAAGCCATTTGAAAGTTTTTACTTCTTACTTTGCGCACAAACAGAAAATGGGTACATTGAAGATTACATTTGACCTACAGCCGATTTGGTCAGACTCTGAAGATGAGACTACACTAAATTCCCAAACTGTCAGTTGATCTGTCTAAGTAGCTGGAGAAAGAACTGCTGGCTGTACAACAAGCTGCTTGTTAAAGAACTATAATTTGGCGGAAGGAATCGCTAACATTAAAACATATTAAATGCAGCGTTCACAGCCCAATTTATTTATTTCTTATTTTATTTATTTAACTGCTGTATAAAAGCAATAGGACACTCGAGGGTCATGTGTTATCGTGAATAACATCACGGCTGTCGTTGATTAGTTAAGAAGCATTGTAACTGTGCTGTTATTTCGCCATAACATCACATTTTTTTTTACAAACACTGTATCACTCTGCTGAGACGCCGTTGCTAAACAACGACTTTGACAGCTGTGAGAGGCCCTCAAGCCATTTGAACGTTTTTTACTTACTTTGCGGACAAACAGAAAATGGATACTTTTAAGATCACATTTCACCTACAGCTGATTTGGTCAGACTCTGAAGATAAGACTACACTAAATTCCGAAACGGTCATTATCACTGAGCAAGCTTTTCAGTCGGCAGCTGTGACAGAAGAACACCTAAACAACCTGGAATTAGTCAGAAATTAACCAAATACCATTCACCAAACTAAATGGGCTGTAAAAATGCTTTATAGACTGGCTGAAACAAAACAACATTAATATTGATCTAACAAAAAGTTACAAAACTGAGCTAAACTTGACATTGCGACAGTTTTATGGCTCAGTCCGATTTGACCAGACTCTGAAGATGAGACTTCTTAGCGAATGGTATTTGGCTCATTTTTGGCTAATTCCAGGTTGTTTAGGTGTTCTTCTGTCACAGTTGCCGACTGAAAAGCTTGCTCTGTGGTAATGACAGTTTGGGAACTTAGTGTAAGGAGCTGGAGAATGAACTGCCGGCTGTGCAGCGAGTGAGCGGAGTCTGTTACTCTGACATAGCAACAAGTTGCTTATTAAGGAACTATAATTTGGCGGACGGAACTGCTAACATTTAAGCAAGAGAACACGAGAGGGAGTGTGTTATCACGAAATAACATCTGTGGTTTGGTCGCAGTTATTCGTGATAGCACACGACCTTGAGTGTTCTATTGCTTTTATACCACAGTTAAATAAATAAAGGAAGAAAAAAATAAACTGGGCCGTGAATGTGGCATTTAATATGTTTTAATATAAACTGCTTTTCTCTGTATTCAAGGTTAGGTTCAAAATGCAGGTTTGGTGTAGCTTCGAACTCCTGACAAGGCAGCATGGTCTCCCATCCAGTCACTGACCAGGACCAGCCATTGTTTGTGGTTGGCCTCCCAGTATTGGCCATTTAAAGAATCCCACCACTCTTTTATGTCTCAAAACAGGCTGATTTTTTTTTGTTTAATTCTTAATTTTGAGACGAAGGTATTTTAATTTCAATTAAAATATTATGTTAAAAAACTTAATTCCAAGGGCCTCCAGTAATGGCCAATTAAATAATCCCACCAATCTATTAGGACTCAATATAGGCTGACTTCTTAAAAATTCTTCATTTTGAATCAAAGTTATTTTTATTTCAAAGTAAAAGATATGTAGAAACCTGTCTGCAACTTCTAATGTCAGATAGTTTTCAGTACAAGTCCTGACTAAGTCCCACATTGCTTAGATTCTGACATGAGACCAGACCAAGGGTTCTGATAGATTTGTGTGCACGCTGGTTGCCAAAATAGGTCTTCTAAATAATTTGGTAGACTATAAAACCGAGTTAAATAATAAACAGACCCAAGTGAATTAAAGCTATTTGGAGAACCAAAGTATAGCTAGTCCAGTACAGAGTTTTTTCAATGCCTTTTTCTCATTGGTTATGCAGAAACATCAGTCAGCAAAGAAATATATACGTAATTTGTTATAAATCCTGGTATTGATAATATTGTGTTTTCCATAGGTGCCCACATAGGCTATGAACCACAGGTGGATGTGGCTGCTGCAATGTTCCTCAGATGTTTTGGCCAAAAGCAGAGCACTGAAGGTTGGTGTCCATCAGTGAAATAGACATAGTAAGTGATTCTGCGTTTAATGATGTTGCCCTGTATATTCAAGAGGACCACTTTTAAGCATTTCAGATGGATCCATAATACCATAATTCATGAAAGATGAATTCCACTGATTTTTCATATTTTCAGTGTAATTTAGTTGTTGAGATGTTAATGGTCATTCTTAATGTTTTGATGTGGTTTTGATGTGACTTGGATTGCATTTTACAGTGGTTGTGATAGGAATCAGGGGTTATGATGTCTACACTGCAAACATAGTCATTTTATTTGCTATCCAAAATGAACCTACAGATGTTGTAATATATATATATACATAAATATATATATATATATATATATATATTTTTTTGTATATATATATATATTTGTATATATATATATATATATATATTGTTAATACAATAAAATAGTGGTCAATATGAAAAAAAAAACCCAAAATTGTTAGGTACTACTTTTCCTTACAACACCCTGCATGTGCCTCTCTGCCTTGCATACATTTTAAAATACATTTAAGCCAATTCATTTCCTGCAAAAGCTTTCCTGAAGCAATATCAGGGATCAGGCAATGTATTCATAACTCTTTTATATAATGGCTTCCTGTTAGGTAACCTTCAGAGGCATTAAGCACTTTGGACGTCTGGTTCCTATCACCGCCACTGTGAACAATTCTGATTTGATTAGAAAAAGGTGCATTTCATAGTAAACAACTCTGAATTGGCTTTGTTTACATCAATGAGCTTTGCATTGAAGTGTGCAAGACACGCAACATTTGAATGATTGGACAATGGAGCATTGGTTGATGTTCCCAAGGACAAACTTCAGAAAGTCAGGTGATAGAAGTTCTATTATGTAAACTTCATTAACAGTGTAGCTTGAAGCCTGTACTACATGTCCTACAGAGGCCTCCTTAAAGCACTGATCTGCAAAAAGACAGATACATACTTTCCCAATAGGTTTAAAACAGATATTGCTGCAAAAAGTGGTCCTCCAAAAATTAAAATGTGGGGCTTGAATGCTTATGGAAGTAGCATGTTTCATTTTTTCATTTTACTTAATAAGTAAATAAAAAAAAAATGCAATGATGTGCAAATCATTTAAACCGTATATTTAATTTAAAATAGTGCAGTATAGAAAATATCAAATGTTGAAACTGAGAAATTTTATTGTTTTTTGAAAAATATACGCCCATTTTGAATTTGAGGCCAACAACGCATTCCAAAAAAGCTGGGACCGGGGCAACAAAAGGCGGGTAAAGTTGTGTAATGCCAAAAAAAACACCTGGTATTTAATTGGCAACAGGTCAGTAACATGATTGGGTATAAAACAACATCCTAGAGAGGCTGAGTCTTTCAGAAGTAAAGATGAGAAGGGGCTCACCACTTTGTAAAAAACTGAATGGGCAAATAGTGCAACAATTCAGCATTTCTCAGCATTAAATAGCAAAGAACGTTTGCTTTTCATCATCTAACATTAAAAATCATATTTTTTCATCATCTAACATTAAAAATCATTTAACATTAAAAGATTCAGAGAATCTGGAGGAATTTCTGTACGCAAGGGACAAGGTTAAAAACCAGTATTTGCTGACCATGATCTTTGGGCCCTCAGGCAGCACTGCATTAAAAACGACATGATTCTGTAGTGAAAATCACTGCATGGGCTCAGAAACACTTCTAAAAAACACTGTCTGTGAAAACAGTTTGTTGCTGCATCCACAAATCCAAGTTAAAACCATAAAATGCAAAGAAGAAACCATACATAAACAGGATCCGGAAATGCTGCTACCTTCTCTGGGCCCGAGCCCATTTAAAATGGACTGAGGGAAGTGGAAAAGTGTCCTGTGGGCCAATGAATCAACACTTGAAATTCTTTTGGGAAAACATTGTGTCCTCTGGGCTAAAGACCAGCTTGTTATCAGTGCACAGTTCAAAAGCCAGTATTCATGCTGGTACAGGGGTGCATTAGTGCCTATGGCATGGGTGATGTGCACATCTGTGAAGGCATAATTATGCCATGATATGTACATGTTTTGGCAACATATGCTGCCATCCAGAAGATGTCTTTTTCGGGGAAGGCCTTGCTTATTTCAGCAAGACAATGCCAAACCACATTTTGCATGTATTACAACAGCATTGCTCTGTATTAAAAGAGTCCGAGTGCTAAACTGGCCTTCCTGCAGTCCAGACCTGTCACCACTGAAAACATCTGGTACATTATAAAATGAAAAAAATGACAAAGGAGATCCCAAACTATTGAGCAGCTGAAATCCTGTATCAAACAAGAATGGGAGAACATTTCACTTTCAAAACTACAGCAACTGATCTCTTCAGTTCCGAAACGCTTACAATTTGTTGCAAGGAGAGGTGATAAAACACAGTGGTAAAGATGACCCTGTCCCAACTTGTTTTGTTTTGTTGCATCAAATTCAAAATTAATATATTTTTCAAAAAACAATAAACTTTCTCAGTTTCAATATTAATTTGTTGTCTTTGTAGTATTTTCCTTTAAAAATATGGTTTACATGATTTGCACATCATTGCATTCCATTTTTATTTACATTCTGCACAGCATCCCAACTTTTTTGGAAATGGGGTTGTATATATTGAGTGTCCTTACATAAAATTAAAGGGGGAAAAATTTCAATATAGGATTTCAAAACAGCAGGCCTGAAATGCAATTTATTTTAAAGAAAACTAGATAAATAAAAGACAGCAAGTGAAAGTTTTTTCTTCATAAAAGTCTTTATTCAGGTTTCTCTTCCATGTTAACAAAACATGCCACAATATTATTAAGCCATGCAAAATTGGAATAGCAAACAGGACAGAAGAAAGTAGAAGTATACAAAAAGAAAACCCCAGAATAACAGTATATTAAGGCTTATTAGTTGACTTATATGTCATTGAAAATACGTGCTTTGTACAGGTCAGAGCTGTACTGCCTGGACTTTTTCTTTGTGGTACTTTCAATTGCAAGCAATATTTGTGCAGCTCTGCACAGCCATCTAGTGGACAGTATTAGAGAAATAGATTTTTTGCAGTATTTTGAAGCAAGTCTGCTAACAGATGTCCTGAGGGATGGAGGCCATCCTACCCCATCCTATGTCCATATTTAATGGAACAATAGAAATGCTCTAAAAGAACATGTAATTAAACTTATTTACATTAACTTAAATTGAAAGTTAAGACTGTTTTTGCCTTCTCCTCTAAGGCTACTAATTTAGAGATACATGTTTGTTTCTCTGGACAATATAAAACTTATGAGATACATGTAGGTTCACTGATGGTTTTGAATAGTAAATAAAATGACTATGTTTGTGTTGCAGATTTTGCATTTCCTGGATATTGTTCCTGCACTGCGAGCTGCTGTGAATAATGAGAGACAAGGAATAAAATAATAATATGCATTAAATTGTGAAACATTGACCGTGGAGCATCATTTTTAGCCAAGCATCAGTGACCAGATCGGTTAAATTAAAACTGCTATACACACAGACGATAAGTGTTTCTATTTTCTGTTTCTGGTGGTGAATGTGAGAGTAACAGAGCGCTTGCATCCCTGCAAAACTTCTGATCAATGAACAAACACCCATGAGTGTAATTTAGTCCACTTTAGTCCTTGCAGTTCACCATCCGAACCAAATGAAAGAGATACAATATCACAAAAAACTTTATAAAATGAACTGTGTATGAAAACAGTCTGATGTTCTTCAGAAATGTTAGTTAACAAATACTGCTATCTAAGGCTGCAGCTACTGAAGCTGTAAAAATACAGATGCTTGCATAAAATAATTACACAAGTAAAAGTACTTTCCCCAGAACAACTTCAGTGGAAATACAAAAGAAGCAGGATGAAAATCTACTTAAGTACTCAGTACTGCAGTGGAACGTCTACTACATCCAGCATTTATCAGCATAGGAACTGAAGATTGTGCAGCTCTGTTCTTCTCTTTTTGGAATGTTTTAAAATACAAAACTCCAAAGTCTGAGATATAACCAATCACACAGCAGTACAAATATAACAACTATCATAATAAGATTCCTTTACTCACTTCAGTAGAAGTAAAAGTAATATGATTTGAAAAATACTTAGGAGAGTAAAAATCCATCAGTACTTTAGTGAAGTACATATACTTGGGTAAATGTAACTAGTTACTTCCCACCTCTGAGTAGGTTTATAAAGACATATTCTTAGCATGACATGAAAGGCGGCTTTAGTCAGTGGCCTACTTGCATTTCGTCACTCGGCCAGCCGCTTTTTTTTTTTGAAACATTATGTTTTGCCCCACCACTTTTGGAGGTGTAGCTCCACCCCTGTGTTCAGAGTACAGACAGGGGTAGTTACATGCCTTTTTAATGATTGTTTACCACAGTTGGCTATTTCTTTCTAGGTAAAGATTTGAAAGGACTGCTAGGTTAGCCTTTCATTCCTTATTTTTTTACGCTTGGTGCAGATTTGTATGGGTTTTAGAGAGTAACTTAAAAGTAAAGTGATGAATGGTGAGATTATTTTTTTCAATCAAAGGAAAGCAATCCCATTACACTTTCAGAGAAATATTTGTCATTTGTAATGGTTTACGTTTTTTCATCATGGAGTTTGCATGTTCTCCCCGTGTCTGCGTGGGTTTCCTCCGGGTACTCTGGTTTCTTCCCACAGTTCAAAGACATGCAGTCAGGCTAATTGGACATGCAAAATTGCCACTAGGTGTGAGGGTGGGTGTGAATGTATAAGTCTGTGTGTCTGCCCTGCGATGGACTGGTGACCTGTCCAGGGTGTATCCTGCCTTCCACCCAATGACTGCTGGGATAGGCTCCAGCTCCCAACGCGATCCAGAAGGATAAGCAGTTTAGAAGATGTGTGTGTGTGTGTGTGTACTCTCATCACCTAGATTAATGGGTTGGATGCATTTGGTTGGGTTTCTAAAAAATGTTTGCAGTCACCAATTTGCCAGCAATAAGACTGGACACCCCTGATCAATAGTAGTGCAAATGGCCTAAATCATGTTCACTAGTTATGTCCTGTAGTATTTTGGAAGCCTTACGCTTACTGAGGGCACGGTCTGGCTCCCTCAGGAGATTCCATTCAGTGACTTCACATACGCTCACACTTCTGTACAGTTGATCCCGATCCACATCCAGAATCCAGTCTGGCTCCATGTGGAAGGCTACAGCCACATGATCCCACACATTATAAACTTCACTCTCAAGTGAGCTCACATGCACAGTACACCCCTCTCTGTCCACCTCCAGCGTCTGGCGATGGCTTTCTGAAGGAGCCTGACAGCGCCATGACATGTCACCCTGGAAGTACCCACACACTTTGTCATCATGGCAGGGCAGGCGTGGGTACTGGCTATAGCAATTAAGGTACCCTGGATGCACCAACACAGAGTACATAATCTCTGTCTTGTAGATCTCAGTGTCCAACACACGAAGAACTAGAGAGGAGTTATGACAGAACTGCCTTTTGTACATACACAGGAGTGTTTTCAGAGGAAAGGTGAAACGAAAGTTGCCGTAGCGAGACTTGCTCTGGAATGCCGGTGAGGTGGTGAACTTCTCCAGAAAAGGCTGCTGGTTATGGCCCTGGCCACCTGGGAATAGCTTCTCTAGGAAATTCTTCTCAGCATCAGCAATGTCGTCCTTAGTCACTGATACACTCCACCAAAGGAAGTTGTCGTCTAGCTGGTAGTACTTCTGGAATCCGCCAACTCTGAAGATACCATTAAGTCCACTCTCCCCAGTCACATGGCACACTTCAGATATGTGGAAGACTGGGTCTGGATAAGGGGGAATGGTTCTTCTCAGGTAGGAATTGTCTAATCCGGGGTCCGCTTTCAGCTTTGCTACACTCACATGCTCACCTTCACAGCACATTACTTCATAGCCTCTGGAATTTCTGTACGGAATCCAATCTCTGAAAAAAGGACGTACTGAGTTTTAGTGTATCATACATTTCACCACATTATCTTTTAGTATCTAAAAGGACTTCGAAGCATTAATGCTATTGAGTGCTGATTGGTCGGTGAGTTAATCAACTCATTATGTAGTTATGTTATAACTGACGTTGGGGGGAGGAGCATGGCTGAAACTCCTCCTTCTTTCAATCTAACACCCTATAAATTGACATCCTCACCTTTCGTTCCTGTGACGAAGTGTTTGCAATCCCCACCGCCATCCCATCTCCTCCCCGTTCCTCAGTCCTACTATTGCTATGAGGTGGGGCCTTCTAGCTACAGGCAGAAGCTGCCCAGAACTCCAGCCCTAGTTCTCAGAGTTCTCCCCATCCCTCAATCAATCTTCCCTCATACTAGCACAACATGTTGACGGCATGGTCCGAACTCACAAAAGCAAATTAAAGCAGTTCACACTCACTGACATCATGAACATACATACAGCAGGGTTAGAATATCCCTATTAATTTGGGACTCAGAAATACTATATAGTTTTATTAGATGTCAAGCACCTCAGGGCCTTGCATACTCACATACTCTCTCATGTTTAGAAGGCTGAAGATTCTCCACAACAGAAGCACTCAGTTAGCTTGGTGCTTCATTTGAAAATTGGAGAAAGGTCTAGAAATCCAGTTAAGAAATCCAATAAAGAGAACTAGATTTTAACTTAGTAATCGGATTTCTCAGCACATGTATACTCTTACCTGGCTTTCTCAGTCTGTGCATGTTTGAAAACAGACCACAGTACTGGAAATGAGCAAGCAGTGTTGCCACGAGACAGCAACAAAACACGTTTAAAGCAATGCTGAAACCAACTACATACTCAACGAAATGAAGTGTTTAAATATTCTTCATCTTCTAGATGTTGTATGTTCATATTTTCAGTTAATGTAGCACAATGTTTTAAATAAAAAAAGCCACTGCAAGACATTTAAATTTTACATTACCTTGAATTTTACATTTACATTTCCGTCGTGTTTTATTTTGTGAGTTTATTGGGTGGTTGCAAAGAAGAAATCTGATTGCTGCCTGACTCATGCAAACCTGGAGTTTTCCCATTATCTGATTACTCAAGTGCATATAAATGTGTTGATTGGATTACTGACAAAAATCTAATTTTCTTGCAGTTGTCAGATTATTTAGTGCATGAAAACGCACTCACTAACACATTGTGGCCTTGTTTCTCAACTTAAAGGGAAATTCTGTCAATTTTTCCAAATTACTGCATAATTCAAATTTTGAGATGTAAACAAAGTCATTCAGAGTGGTTTGATGTGAAATGGTTCATTGTAGACAAACTTACTAACTGTTTTTCTTTACAGTGGTTGTGATAGGAACCAGGAGTTGCGATGTCTATAGTGCAAATACAGCTATTTTATTTACCATCCAAAATGACCAGTGAATGTATATGTCTTCTGAGTTTTATAATGTAATGTAATGTAATGGTAAAATAGTAGTAAATCTGAAAAAAAAAAAAATTCTTTGGGGTCTACTTGCCTTACAACATCCTGCATGTACCTCTCTGCCATAAATGTATTTAAAAAATACAATTTAGGGCAAAAACTATCATAAAAACTATCATAAAATGAAATCACAGGCAAATATAGTCAATGCATACATAACCATTTTATGAAATAACTTTGTGTGATGTAGCTTTTAAAAGCACCAACAGTATAGACGTGGGTTCCTTTCACCACTGCTGTGAACAATTCTGACCATGTTTCTCTAGAGAGGCACATCACACTGTACATCAGACCGCTCTGAATAGCATCAGAATTCAGGAGAGGATGACCTCTGGTGGCCAGTTTGGGAGTTGCACAAGACACGTGTAAGTGCATTCGTGGTATATTTGAATACTGCTGCTACACCTATACCGAATTATTGCAGCATAATTATGCAAAACTTGTTTTACTTTTGGTGGCGCACTTTGTAAATAGACAATTGGTTTTACATTTATTTTGTTTTTATTTATTTATTTGTTTTAATTTTATTTATTTTTTTTTACATCAGAACGTGTCATACAGTCCTATAATGTGGGGAAAGATTACAATACATATAACTTACATCATACTGTTTATGCACATCATCTGCCTGCTCTGGAAAACTTTATGCAAATGAGCTTAGCTGCAACCAGTCAGACTGTTGATATGTGGTGCCATAATTGATTGTGTGACGCCCACAGTCACATGGCAAGTTTCATACTTGGGGGCAACAAATGGTAGATGATGATTTTTCACTTGAAAAACAATATTTGACTGCTTTGGGGCTCAGAACTACACACTTAACAAAGATGACTCTTCAATGGTTCTTTAGTACAAGCAATGCTTCTATTTAAAATCATGAGACATATATAGAACCATTTCATGCTTAAATGGTTCTTTGCATAGCAAAAAAAAAAGGGTTCTATATAGCACCAAAAAGAGCTCTTCTGTTGCTACAAGCTTGACATCGTAACAACAGAAGAACCCTTTTGGTGCTATATAGGGCCCTTTTTGAAAAGGTTCTGTTTAAAACCATATATAACCCATTCTTCATCACTCGGAAGAACTTATTTCATGATGCAAAGAACCCTTTATTTATGCAAAAATTGTTCATTGAGTGTTCATGGTTCTATATAGAACCATTGTCTTTACTAAAGAGGAACTTTTAAGTGCGTATATGGTTCTATTTAGAACCTTTTTTTTTAAAGGGATTGTGTAGAGCGCCAAAAAGGGTTCTTCTGTGGCCAATCCTAAGCCCAATCTTAAACAAGTGCACATTAGTCTTAACTAAACTCAAATAATTACACAGCTCAGAACGTTATTATTATTATTATTATTATTATTATTATTATTATTGAAAGTTGCAATTTTGGGAGTGCTGTGCCCCCACTCCCCACGACCTAATAAATAATTTTAGAACAAACATTTTCTACTGAGGAGAGTTTCCCGCCAAGACTGCGCAGGCAATTAACGACCCTGTAACAGCCAAGAACTCGGCAGCACTCTGTCAGTATTTTGTCGGGAAAACTTTCCGCGCTGTAAAGATATACATATGTTGGGTCTGCTTTCATTATTATGACGGTTTTTTCTTTACCTGTGAGCAGCCATGATCCTCCCTTCTTTCCTGCGAGCAGCGCTGTGTCCGTGTTTGTGTCCGCATTGAAACTGAAACTTCTACTGAAGAAGTGACCGCTCCACAGCTCCCTTCCCGCCTTGTGGACGATGACGTCGGCAACAGTGACGTTACGCCTAAACCTAAGCCTGACCTGCGGTGGGTAATGGTAAAGTTTTGATGGGTTTCGAATAATTTACAGATTTTCTCTGAGGAAATTGTCTGTGTTTTCCTCAGTTCTTTAACATTTAGTTCTACTTTTTTTTTCATTCCATTGTGTAGGTGCAGCTTCTGTACTGCTGTTGCTAACAGTCCTAATTTGTAGCTTTTTATTTTAGGTCAAAAGGATCTCAATAAGAGAAAAAAATAGCTCCTATGCCTATATTTCCTGAATATACTAAATGAATATGGTTGTATTTGAGTCATTATTTCACTGTAGTTACAAAGCTTGACACTGCTACACTACCCGGCTCTGTCCCTAACCTCAACCAAAAGGAAAGTTTTAGACTATTTTTCAAATAAAAGCTCATTGCTTTTGCAAATCCCTCACACAGCATTCAAACAGATTTGCAGTGGTAAAACAGACCCTGGCGAGGTACAGCTGTTTGGAGGACCAAAGTACAGCTAGTCCAGTACAGTGTTTTTTCAATGCCTTTTTTTCATTGATTATGGAGAAACAGCAGTCAGCAAAGAAATATATACGTAAGTTGGTATAAATCCTGGTATTGATAATATTGTGTTTTCCATAGGAGCCCACATAGGCTATGAACCACAGGTGGAAATGGCTGCTGCAATGTTCCTCAGATGTTTTGGCCAAAAGCAGAGCACTGAAGGTTGGCGTCCATCAGTGAAATAGACATAGTGAGTGATTTTGAGTTGAATGATGTTGCACTGTATATTCAAGAGGACCACTTTTAAGCATTTCAGATGGATCCATAGTACCAGCACCTTATTAAAGATGAATTCCACTGATTTTTCATATTTTCAGCATAATTTAGTTGTTGAGATGTAAACAGTCATTCTTAATGTTTTGATGTGATGTGGTGTGATATGGTTTTGATGTGACTTGGATTGCATTTTACAGTGGTTGTGATAGGAATCAGGGGTTGTGATGTCTACACCGCAAACCTAGCCATTTTATTTGCTATCCAAAATGAATCTACACGTCTCGTAAAAATATATATTGTTGATAACAGTAAAATAGTGGTCAATACGAAGGAAAAACCCTGTAATATACAACACCCTACATGCACCTCTCTGCCTTGCATGTATTTAAAAATACATTTCATGCAAAAGCTCTCCTGAAGCAATCTCAGGGATCAGGCAATGTATACGTAACTCTTTTATACAATGGTTTCCTGTTAGGGAGCTTTTAGAGGCATTAAACACTTGAGATGTCTAGTTCCTATCACCACCATTGTGAACAATTCTTTAGAGAAAGGCACATTTCATATTAAACCACTTTGAATTAGCTTTGTTCACATCAGTGAATTATGCAGAAATATTTAAAAACTGGTGAAATTCTCTTTTAAAGTGTGCAAGACATGCAACATTTGAATGATTGGACAATGGAGTATTGATTGATGTTCACAAGGACAAACCTCAGATAGTCAGATGATGGAAGTTCCATCATGTAAACTTTATTAACAGTGTAGCTTGAAGCCTGTACTACATGTCCTACAGTGGCCTAGTTAAAGCACTGATCTGCATAAAGACTGATACATACTTACCAAATGGGTTTAAAGCAGATATTGCCACAAACAGTGGTCCTCTAAAAATATTAAAATGTGGGGCTTCAATGCTTATGCAAATAGCATGTTTAATTTTTTCATTTTACTTCAAAAAATTTTCTAATGTTAAGCAAAGTCACATTAAATTGAGTAATTAAGTGTTACTACATTAAGTGTACTTACATAAAATTAAGGGGTAAAAATATTCAATATAGGATTTCATTCGATATTGGTAGTGGACTTGCTACCATAGAAAACGGAAGGCCTGAAATACAATTTATTTAAAGAAAACAAGATAAATAAAAGACAGCAAATGAAAGTTTTTTTCTTCATAAAAGTCTTTATTCAGGTTTCTCTTCCATGTTAACAAAACATGCCACAATTTTATTAAGCCATGCAAAAGTAGAAAACAGGACAGAAGACAGTAGAAGTATTAAAAAGAAACAGAATGACAATGTATGAATGACCTATTAGTTGACTTACATGTCATTAAAAATACGTGCTTTGTACAGGTCAGAGCTGTACTGAGGGGACTTTTCCTTGTGGTACTTTCAGTTGCAGACTTTGTTTGTGCAGCTCTGCACAGCCATCTAGTGGACAGTATTAGAGGAACAGATTTTCTGCAGTATTTTGAAGCAAGTCTGCTAACAGACATCCTGCGGAATGGAGGCCATCCTACCCACCCAGAGAGAGCAGAGTCAGTTATACTCTCTTAGCCTCCTTACTTTACATTTTATTTTCAAATGGGAATTCCAGTGATTTTTCCAGATTTCCGCAAAATTCAATCATTAAGATCCAAACAAAACCTTTCAGAGTGGTTTGATGTGAAATGCTCTGTTCTTGGGAAACTTACTGAGTCAGAATTGTCTACAGTGGAGGTTATAAGTACTAGATGTCTGAAGAATTTAATGCCTGTAAAAGCTCCATAATAGGACGTTATTGTTATTGTTACGAGTACACCTGATGCCTTTAACATCATTTTAAGATGCTTTTACAAAAATCTTTCAGACTAAAACATATTTTTTTATATAAATTCATGGCAGAGAGGCCCATGCAGGACATTGTAGGGAAAAATAGTCCCCAAAGAAAATACATTTTTCAGATTTACCACTATTTTGCCATCTTTAATATTAAGTTTTAAAAAAAGCCATCCATATTTCTAGATCTTTATTTTTCTAGATCATTTGAACATGGCAGCTGTCCTCTATGTTATGTGAACATTTCATGATGAATGGACCAATAGAAATGATCTAAAATTACTTTAATTAATTAAACTTATTTACATTAACTTACATTGAAAGTTAAGAATTTTTTTGCCCTCTCCTCTAAGGCTACTACTTTGGAGATATATGTTTTTCTTTGGACAATATAAAAGCTTAGGAGATATGTGTAGGTTCACTGATGGTTTTGGATAGTAAATATAATGGCTATATTTGTGTTGTAGCTTTTGTGATTCCTGGTTCCTATCACCACCACTTTAAAGAAACCAGAGTGAAAATGTTTCTCTAAGGTTTCACATTAAACCACTCCAAATGGCTTTGTTTACATCTCAATCACAAAATTATTGAATTCTCCTTTTAAGATTTTATTTAGAGGTGGCTGTTTTTGAATTGTTTCTGCTGACTAGTTTTGAGGTACAGACAGGACTAGTTACATGCCTTTTACGCTTGGTACAGATTTGTATGGGTTTTAGAGAGTAACTTAAAAGTAAGTGATGAATGGTGAGATTTTATTTTCCATCAAAGTGAAGCAATCCCAATAGACTTTCAGAGAAGTATAGAGTATTTGTAATGAATTACTTTTTTGAGTAACTACTCTCATCACCTGGATTACATGGGTTGGACGCATTTGGTTGGGTTTCTGAAAAATGTTTGCAGTCACCAAACTGCCAGCAATAAGACTGGACACCCCTGATCAATAGTAGTGGCCTAAATCGTGCTGACTAGCTATGTCCTGTAATACTTCGGAAGCCTCATCCTCACTGAGAGCACAGTCTGGCTCCCTCAGGAGATTCGGTTTAGTGACCTCACATACGCTCACACTGCTGTACAGTCGCTCCTGATCCACATTCAGAACCCAGCCTGGCTCCATGTGGAAGGCTACAGCCACATGATCCCACACATAATACTCCTCACCCTTAAGTGACTTTACATGCACTGCGGAGTCCTCTTTGTCCACCACTAGCCTGTGGCCATGACTTTCTGAAGGAGCCTGACAGCGCCATGACATGTTGCCCTGGAAGTACCCACACACTCTATTATAACGACGGGGCAGGCGTGGGTATTGGCTGTAGTCCTCAATGTGCCGTGGATGCACCAACACCGAGTACATAATCTCTGCCTTGTAGATCTTGGTGTCCAACACACGAAGAACTGGAGCGGATCTGTCACAGAACTGTCTGGCGTACAGAGACAGGAGCTCTTTTAGACGAAAGGTGAATCGGAAGTTGCCATAGCGAGACTTGCTCTGGAATGCTGGTGAGGTGGTGAACTTCTTAAGGAAAGGCTGCTGGTTAGAGGCCTGGACATTTGGAAATAACCCCTTCAGGAATCGCTTCTCAGCAGCAGCAATGTCATCCTTGGTCACTGATAGACTCCACCACAGAAAGTTGTCATGGTGTGTTATACGGAAGCCGCCATCACGAAAGATACCGCGAAGGCCACTTCCCCCAGTCACATGGCACACTTTGGAGACACAGAAGAGCACGTTGTTTGGATAAGGGGGAATATTGTTCTTCTCCAGGTATCGATGGTCCAAGTCTTCTTTTAGCTCCAATAATCTCACATGCTTACCTTCACAGCATGTTTCTACATGGCCTCTGGAGTTTTCATGCTTTGTCCACTCTCTAAAAAGGAAGCACTACTTTTACTCATCTTGCATTTTGCTAGATTATCTGTACATCTGCTTTATGGGTGTAAATGTTGAGCTTCTGAATTTGGGATTTTTACATGGGAAAATGTTATTATATTATACTTATTTTAAAATTCCAAAATCAATGCTGTTGAATCATCATATTCATTTGCCCTCACGCATTTTTAAACCCCTAATAAAATCAGTACCAACTGATACTGTGAATCGACTGTCAGTTGTAGTAAAAGTAATGAGAAGACCAAAGAAAAACAGTATAAAGGCTTCAAATAAAACTCCCCTCTGAAAAAATACTCAAAAGCAGAGGCTCCTGAAGACCTACCACTCTTATTCGGTTGATCATTAAAAAAGTTTCAAAGTTCATATATCAAAGATATATTTTAATTCCCAGCTTATCAGCCTTAGAGTGGACTACGTGGTGACTGAAAAGTATAAATAATTCTCTTACTATTTACTTTCATATTGTGGAACAATAACAAAAAAATACTAGGTCAATTA